AGTCTGCAGACCAAGCAAGAGAGCAACAACCTTCAAATCGCCGCAAAGCTGCCACTGATGTTGGTCATAGTTTATGCACCTCAAAAGTTGTTTCATGTTGTCATAGGTTTCCTTCATATGGACTGCATGACCAACTGGAATTGATGGCAAAACATTGCCATTATGCAACAAAACATCCATGACTTCTAGGAATAACATGGTACAATTCATATCATGTATGACGCAATACCAGCTTCAGATTGCATCATTCATTGTTTTGCCTAAAAAGCAAGTACTGTCCAAACCCAGTCATAGATTTATTCATAGATCCAGTCAAAGATGTATTTTAGTCATTTCTGGTTTAAATTGAGATCCCTTCCCTTTATAACTCACTTATCCTCCGCCATTCGCAAGTCAGGGGTTGTATATACTGACCCAATAGCATATCTTGAAAACTAGAGCCAATCAACAATTTTAAGCATCATTTTCATTCTCAGTGACCCACAATTAGTAAAGTTTGACTACATTTATTTCAGAAGCATTTTGGCTGTAGAGCAGTGTTATCTCTAGCAAACATCCTAGTTTAAGTGCTCTCCTATTAATCAGCAAAAGAACAACATATTTGTGTAATATTAATCTAGTACTGGTCTAACACGTGCTTTGTCCCTGCTAATTTAGGTGACTGAGAAAAATAGGATAGAGTTTAGAAGCATTGGAATAGCTATCCACTGTGCAGCACAACCCCATAAGGACGGAAGGTAGGACCTTCTGCATTCTCATAGACTCATAGACTTTTAAGGTCAGAAGGGACCATTATGATCATCTAGTCTGACCCCCTGCACAGTGCAGGCCACAGAATCTCACCCACCCCTCCTAGAATAATCCTCTCACCTATATCTCAGATATTGAAGCCTTCAAATACTTTGAAGACCCCAAGATGCAGAGAATCCTCCAGCTGTGATCTGTACCCCATGCTACAGAGGAAGGCGAAAAACCTCCAGGGCCTCTGCCAATCTACCCTGGAGGAAAATTCCTTCCCGACCTCAAATATGGCGATCAGCTAAACCCTGAGCATGGGGGCAAGACTCACCAGCCAGACACCCAGAAAGTTATATCATGTATCTATTTTTAATAAAGCTTAAATTTTGTCTTATCGCTTAGACATGCAATGATGTGGAATACAACCGTTTTTCCTTCCTTTTTGCTTATTTTCTGTCTTCTACAGCCTATTTAGCACTAAAGCACCCTCTCTTTTTGAGGAAGTCATGTTTTAAACTAATGAATCTCAGAATGTAGTGAGTGGATTCTACAAAGTAACTTGTCATCTTTGTTTCCTAAAGAATACAATCTGATGAAACAGGGAAATGCAGTTGTTACGTCCTATCAAGTTGAAGGTATCTGATTCTGTAGCGTTTGTTTTTGAAGAACTTACTAGTCACAATATAAGATTGTAAGACAAGGTTGAAACTGAGCAAAATGGCAAGTCATTTATCAGACATGTGCTTGAAGCACTGTAGTCAACAGTAAAACAGGCATCATGTCCTTTAATCCTGCTCAGAATTATCTCAATTTATCATGTTGCTACATGCCACTCATTATTTGTATGAGATGGGGGACAGGGAGAGGCAGCTGAACTTTCCCTCCATGCTGGAATGGTTTCCTCAGGACTAGAGCATTGTGACTGTATAGCAAGGTATATAAACTTGCAACATGGTGTTAATATGTATTTTAAACAGCATCAACATTGTTCTCTTGATCCTAGATAGTTTTTTGTTAATGTAAACCTGAAACACGATTTCTGTGACTGTCTGGAATACTGACCCTTACATACAGTAGACTTTTATTATGATTTTATTTTAACGATCAACCCTAGTACTCTTAAGTAGTTAAAATGAACATGCACTTACATTGTTACAAAGGGAGCCAATAAACATTTAGAAATGTGGCTAGTAACTGGCAACTGTCCAATATTTAAGTTTGCTGTACCACTCCTTCTAGATGTCCCAATATATGGGGGTTTGTCCCATTTCTGATTTGAAAATGAACAGTAGCTCCAAATTGTGAAGCTCTGTGCCAAGGGAAAATGTGTAACCCACTGAGCTAGATTTAGCATGTATTTTATTTAGCAGTTTCCGAGGGTTAGGCGAGTTAGTTTGTAACACGAAAAACTTAAAAAACAACAAATAGTCTGGTAGCACTTATTTAGCAATAAGGCAAGGAACCTACAGGCCTGTGTCTTGTAAAACATTGGCTTCAGTGGTTAGCATAAGGCTTGAGGCCTATGAAATTGGCGCACAGATAAATGGCCACCCCCAAATTTTGAGACTAGAGTGGTTAAGGGGGAAGTTTGTCCACGACACTAGCCAACTACAGGAACATGAGTTAACACCAACTTTTGGCTGCAGATGTTGACTACAAGAGTGCCATGGAAATGAATTGACATATGTGATAATAAATTGTACAGTAAATATACTAACCTGTAAGAGAAGGGTACCCCAGTAGTAATAGGGTGAGGAAATACAAATAAATAGGGGAGAAATCCCTACTGTGTATGCACTAGACACAATGGCATCAGCATATCATATTATAAGAGTTGTGTCCCAGCCCGTGGGCAGGAGGAGGGAGAGATGTAGTCTTGGGTGGTACCAGAATGAGGGCCATTGGGGAAGATGATAGTGACAAGGAAAATAATGGGTAACATGTCCAGTTGTCCTGCAAGGGATGGCGGGAGTACACGGATGCTCAGATGGATGTACATTCTCTCAATCTGGCTGGGTTAGAGTGTTGAATAGAGAAGGTTTCCTAAAGCATGTGTCTCTCAATGGTGCACACTGTGGTTCCCAACTCAACAGTCATTTTAATACTGGACCCTTCTCACCTGGTCCCAAACCGCTATAGAGAGGGCTGGGTAGGTCTCTCTTTCCAGAACCGTCTGCATATTGAACCCCTCATCCCCAGCTCTACCCCAGACCAATGATTTAAATCAGGGATACTCAACTTTGGAAGCCCCACGGGCCACAATAATACTCACAGCACATGCCAAGGGCCTCAGCTTAAGTGTGGTTGCACATACATGCAAATATATATGCAAATAGCTTTCACACTGACGAGCGTGAATACAAAGCACTTCCCACAATGCCCCGGCACTCCCATCACCTCCTTTCTGGAGGCTAGAAATGCCGACACCCTGTACTGTCTGTTCCAGCCAGCCCATCCGCTTGTGTCTTTCAATGCTCACCCCACCTGGGAGATGCCTCGCTGTTGTGGAGCATGTTCACAATGGAGGCCATGTTCAAAGGATCCCACCTGCAGGCTGCATGTTGAGCCCCGTGTAAACCCAAACTGTACTGCGGGCTGCAAACAAACAGGCCGCAGGCTGCATGCGGCCCACAGGCCACGTGTTGAGTAGCCCTGTTTTAAGGGTTAAAGCAGGAACATTTTTCAGTTCCTCTGCTGCTTTAAAGTACTTTGATCTGAACCTGATAAAGGAACAAGTCCTGAGTCTCCAGTCAAATATTTACTTCCCCTGTCACCTGCCAGATTCACTAGGGCCGGTCCAAGCCATTTTGGCACCCGAGTGCATGGCGCCGCCCCTAGGCGCACGGTGCATGTGCGGTTCCACCCCCCCTAAGGTGCACGGGCCCACCCCCGGGGTGCACAGTGCATGCGCTGCCTGGCCACGGCCGTTGGCACGTATCCCGGGGCCCGCCCCCGGGGCGCACGGCGCATGCACTGCCCGGCCCGGTCACCGCTGCTGGCACGCGGCCTGGGCCGCACCTGGCCGTGCAGGGCCCCATGGCCATGGAGGGAAGGGCTCTGCTGGCTGGCACCATGGGGATGAGGGGGCCGACGCTGTGGGAGCCAGGCACGCAGCGCCTGATTGCAGCTATAAGGGACGCTACATGCCCCTTACAGCTGCCATCAGGCACCCCCCATCAGTTGGCGCCCCAGGCAGCTGCCCGGCTCGCCCACCCCTTAGTCCAGCCCTGATCAGATTCCCTCCCAGTCTCTGGGAACATGAACTCCCAGTTGAACTGACCCCCTTCTACTGGTTCCTGATGCAACAGCTAGGTTGCATCATGGTAGTTGAGGAGTACAGCTGGGGACCCATGAAAGTTTCAGTCGGCAGGAAGGTAGGATGGGGTTCTGGGGAACTGAGTTTCCAGCAGTGAGACAATGGTACAGGTCAGGAATTCCACTAAGCAAAAACTCTGCTAGGAATCCTTTCTGGTCTTCTGCGCTCCTGCTCCCCAGCCAGTTTCTGAATCCTTAGAAACAGCCACTCTAAGGGTTAATACACAGACAACTGTGCAGGCCTCTTCTTGTAATAATAAAATGGATTTGTCAAATTGAGCAATCCAGCTGCTGAACTCTTATCAGTGCTTCCCTACTAATCCCTAAAACCTTTCACCAGCCAAGTCTTTCTGAAGTCCAGATGTTTATCTGCTTAATATTGAATTGTTTGGTGTTAATTGCAGGGTGGGACATCTTGAAAACTAACACTCAGACTTTCCTCAATATTTGGATTCCCAACTTGACATGCTGGGTCTTGTGTGTACTCTGCTTTTACTGGTCAGTGGGATTTGTGGATGCTTGGCACTTCTGAAAATGGGGTCAAAGATCTCTTTAAGCTGAGCACCCAAAGTTTGCAACCCCTTGGGAAATATGCGGGTAAACAATTTGGAGATATGTAACTTATTTCTTTTTCCCCCTCTCTTTCAGCAGAAAAATGTGGAGCATGTGGTCCTGGCTACAGCACTCCGTTAGATGCCATGAAAGGCAAGTCCTTTCATCTGTATTCTGAAATCGAAGTTATCATAACTAGAACTTTTTATTGACAGGCCTGCTGACGAAAGTGGGGTGGGCAAAGGTGGCAGTTGCTCCCGGCTGCCACGGCCGGAGCCCCAAGCCCTTCAGAATTGCCACCAGAGCATCTCTCCACGCAGTTCTGGGGGCTAGAGGAGGGTGCACCAGTCTGGGTGGTGCTAAGGGCTGATTGTCCTGGGACCCACCCTTTCCACTTGAGTCCTGACCCCTTTTGGGACCACGGAGCTGGGGCCCCACACACACCTTGGCCTGGTGCCTGTGGTGCCTGTTGGATCTGTTGTTTAGATGCTATGCCATGGATTTCATGTGACTGGTTTGACATGAGATACTGATGTGGGCTACCTGTGCCAAACAGAAGTTGGCTTTTAGGCTCTAACTGGGATTGTGTCTATACTTAAATATGCGACAGTGGCACACCTGCAGCTCCACTTCTACACTGCTTCAGGGACCGGAGGGGTTCTCCCATCATTGTCACTAATCTTCCACCTCCCTGAGAGGTGATAAAATTCAGTGGAAAAAATCATCCCTAAAGCTGGGGGTTAGGTCGGCATAGCTACATCTCTCAGGGGGTTGGATTCTTCATATCCTTGAGACAGGGTTACCAACTTCCTAATTGCACAAAACTGAACACGCCTACTTGCCCATATCCCACCTCTTTTCTGAGGACCCAGCCCCTGCTAACATAAAAACGGCCATACTGGGTCCTACTCTTCCACTATTGGGTGCTATGGATAGTCCCGTTCTAATCTTGTTGTTAGCAGTGTGGGATGAGATTCTAATCACACTGAAGTCATTGTGCATTTGCAATTGACCTCACTGAGGCCAAGATTTTATTCTAAGGGCTCAATGTATTTTAAAGGCTGCTGCTGCTCCCCTGCTTGATATAACCAGTGCGATGCTCCATAGCTGGCTAGCATATGCTGGTACACTGACGTTTGACTAGAGCAACTGGCATAATAGAAAGACTGAAAATCCTTGTAAGGGTCAGGGAGATTCCCGCTCTCTCCGAGAACACTTTGCATTTTGAGGGCCCTTCAGAAATCTCTCTGATCCAGGGATGAGTCTTCCATGAGCAAAGAGGGGCTAATAGAGTCGCAGACTGGGAACGGGCCACACTACAGGCAGGGAAACTCCTTCAGACTGAGCAACTGGCATAATAGAAAGACTGAAAATCCTTGTAAGGGTCAGGGAGATTCCCGCTCTCTCCGAGAACACTTTGCATTTTGAGGGCCCTTCAGAAATCTCTCTGATCCAGGGATGAGTCTTCCATGAGCAAAGAGGGGCTAATAGAGTCGCAGACTGGGAACGGGCCACACTACAGGCAGGGAAACTCCTTCAGACTGACCTTGTCTTGTGATTCCCCATTTGAGCAAATCCAGCCCCGTGAGAGATTCCTCCAAGGCTTGCTTTGGGGGTAGCATTGCACTGATTTCTGTTGACTTAAACCAGCTCTCTGCCTTGCAAGGTCCCAGAGAGAAGATTGTGTACCTGCCCTGTATCTACAGGAACACTGGAATAGAGAAGCCTGACTATCTGGCTACCGTGGATATTGACCCCAAATCTCCACACTACTGTCAGGTACCCTTCTGCCAAGATTCTGGCTCTAATCCTCCGTACCTAGCCTGGCCTGACCCAGGCTGCTTTACTGCTGGTTAGTAACACTCTCTGCTGCAGCTCCTTGAACCCATTCTTCAGAGGGAAAATCTTTCTGTCTTTGCCAATATCCTTGACCTAAATGAGGACCTGATGCACCAAAATTTGAAGGAGCCTGGACAGTCTCTCTCTCTCTCTCTCTCTCCTCCATCCTGGATGGATTCTTGTCTTGTGCCCTTTCCTGAGCCATCGATTTTCCTGCCAAATGGGGCAGCTCAGCCCGTTAGTTGTTTCAGCTCTGCTTTATGTTGCATTTTCTCCTGCTCAACTTCTTGCTATCCTATCTGGGGCCTCTTATGGCTAAGTAGGTTGGATCCCACGGATTCCGCCTTAATCTTTGTCTACTGTCTCCTCCGTTTTCTTCCTCACCACTTTCAAACAGACATCTCTGTGTTGACTGTCAGTCTAGCCATGCTACGTTTCTTAGGGTACGTCTACACTACAGCGCTAGTTCGAACTAACTTAGTTCGAATTAGTTAATTCGAACTAAGCTAGTTCGAACTAACGCATCTAGAACTAAAAACTAGTTCGAACTAGCGTTTTGCTAGTTCGAACTAGTAAGTCCACATTGAGTGGACTCTGAACAGGGCTTAAGGATGGCCGGAAGCAGTGCCGGCAGGGCATAAAAGGAGGACTTAGAGCATGGAGATGCTGTCTCAGGCTAGCCGAGGGCTGCGCTTAAAGGGTCCCGACCCCCACCCCGGACACACAGTTCTAAGGGGTGCCCCGCTTGCAAAGAAGTTCTGGCTTGGAGTGCCCTGAGTGCCCACACTGGGCACATCACAGCACTCGGCCATCAGCCCGGCTGCACTTGCCGCAGGCTGCCATCTGGGGAGAGGGAGTAATTGGGGGGCTGCAGGAGAGCTTCCACCCCCAGAAGCCCGCAGAGCCAGCCCAGTCCTCCCCATCGGGGGCTCGTACCCCATTCCTCCCTCACCTCCTTCCACTTGCCCTTCCCTAGCCCCCCTTCTTCTTGATGTACAAAATAAAGATAACGTTTCTTCCAACATTGACTCTGTCTTTATTGAAAAAAACTGGGGGAGACTGGGAAAAGGAGGTGGGAGAGGGGAAGAGAAAGGCTGGGAGAGGGGAGGGCAACTAACATGATCAGGGGTTGGGAACAGGTCCCAGATGAAGAGAGGCTACAGAGACTGGGACTGTTCAGCTTAGAAAAGAGGAGACGGAGGGGGGACAGGATAGAAGTCTGTAAAAGCAGGGGTTGGGTGGAGAGGGTGCATTCAGAAAAGTTCTTCCTGAGATCCCATAAAGAAGGACTAGAGGACACCAAAGGAAAGGAATGGGTAGCAGGCTTGAAACTAGTAAGAGAAAGTTGTTGTTGTTGACAAAGCAAATAGTTAACCTGTGGAACTCCTTGCTGCAGGAGGCTGTGAAGGCTACAACTAGAACAGAGTTTAAAGGGAAGTGAGATCAAGTCATGGAGGTTGGGTCCATGGAGTCCTATTAGCCAGAGGGTAGGAGTGGTGTCCCAGCCCAAAGTTTGTGGAAGGCTGGAGATGGATGGCACGAGACAAATGGCTTGGTCATTGTCTTCGGTCCATCCCCTCCAGGGTCCCTAGGGTTGGCCGCTGTTGGCAGACAGGCTACTGGGCTAGATGGACCTTTGGTCTGACCCAGGACGGCCATTGTAAGCTCAGGGCTCAGTGTCGGGGGGCTCAGTGGACCCCCTTGATTTTCATGCACACCTGGTCCTGGGTGGCCAGGCTGGCAGCTCTCCTGCCCTAGACGGCCACTTTCCTGTGCCTAGTGCGGAGATCGTGGACAAGGTCCACGATGTCCGCACTAGCCCAGGAAGGTGCCCGCCTCTTGCGGTCCAGGGCAAGCTCCCGGGAGCCGCCAGCCTGGTCCCGGCAAGAGGGGGTGGGCTGGGGGGCATCGGGTGGGTGGCTCTGTGCCGTGCCAGGGGCAGGGTCTGCTAGCTGGGTGCTGGCAGGCTTGCACCTGGCACGGGCACCGTAGCCAGCCCGTGCCCCTTTAAGGGGTCCGGGGCCGGGAGGGGGGCATAGAGTTTCCCTGGTGTTGGCCAGAGTGGCCACCAGGGAAACCTGGGGAGGGCTAGCCTCCCACTAGTTCGAACTAAAGGGCTACACAGCCCTTAGTTCGAACTAGCTAGTTCGAACTAGGCGTTAGTCCTCGTAAAATGAGGTTTACCTAGTTCGAACTAAGCGCTCCGCTAGTTCGATTCAAATTCGAACTAGCGGAGCGCTAGTGTAGCGCATAGGAAAGTTAGTTCGAACTAACGTCCGTTAGTTCGAACTAACTTTCTAGTGTAGACATACCCTTAGAGATGTGCAGCAAGTTCAAAATGAAACCCCAGGTCATGGGTAGCTCAGCTGGCTCCTATTTCATTCTCTTGGATTTGAACGGCTTATGAATTCACATCAAAGCTATAAGAAAACAACTCAGTGGCTTAGCGGTGTATTTGCATTGTGTTTTCAGCCACTTTCTAAACTTGGGCTTGGGAATCTTCCAGGGATTGCTGAAGGCCAATATTTAGCTACTGTTCCCAGATCTCTTTCAAAGACTTAGTGAGCAACTTAGGTCCCTCCGAAATGCCATTGTCAATGGATATTGAGCAAGATTACTAATCACTGCAGGAACAAATTTATTTGGGGTGTCCATCAGGCTTCGCAGTTACTGGTTTGTTTAAGGTGATTAGAGTGATTTAAGGATGTAAAAGGTTAACTGCTTAACCCGTTATCTGGTAAGCATAAGGCTGATGGAATGCATACGGGGTAACCGGTTGGACAGCCAACTGCGCCAGGCTGGAGCAGCCCTGGCTGAGTCCTGTTGGCTGTGCAGGAGCAGCAGGCAGGACCATGACTGAATCAGCCTCCCCAGCCCTGGCCATGCAGGCATGGCTGGGATGACCAGGCCAGGACCCCAGTCCTGAACGCGCAGGCGAAACCCCAGCACAGGCTGCACCACAGCAGCCCAGGTGACCAGGCAAGACCCTGGACACAGCCGTGCTGGAGTGGCCTGGGCAGCTAGGTGGGGCCTCAGCTCTGCCACACTGGTGGAACCCGAGCCCTGGCTGGGCCAGAGTGGCCATTCAGGACCCCAGCCCTCCCATGCGGCCAGGCCAGACCCCAGCCCTGGCCACACTGGAGTGGCCTGGGCAGCCAGGCGAAGTGCAGCCCTGGTCACACTGGAGTGGTCTGAGCTGTCAGACCGGTCAGACCTCAGCTGTGCTGGAGCACACCAATGGGACCTCAGCCCCAACCGTGCTGGCGGAACCCCAGCCCTGGCCATGCTAGCATGGCCTGAGCGGCTAGGCGGGACCCTGGCTCTGGCCAGGCCGGAGCATCCTAGGCAGTCAGGTGGGATCGCAGCCATGCCAAAGCAGGGCAGGTGGTGCCCCAGCTGTGCTGGAGCCTCCTGGGTAAGCGGGCTAGCGGGACCCCTTGCCCAGCTGCAACAGCCCTGCTGGACAAGTAGGACCCTGGCTGCACTGGCTCAGGCCATCATGCAGGACTTGGCCCCTCTGACACAGCCCAGGAGGGTGGGCAGGAGCCTGGCCCCAGCTGCTGTCCACCCAGCTGCCAACAGTTAACTCGTTAACCAGGATAATTTTATCCATTTAACCAGTTCACTGTTTTAACAGTTATTTACCTCCCTAGAGTGATTTAGGAAGTCTATGAAACTAACCCTCTCTGTCATGAAATAGGAAAGCATAGTCTTGGCCAAGACTACAGCTTCCAGTTACCTGGTAGACCTGGGTTTTAGGACCAATGAGTACATAGTTGTTGTTTTTTTAAGTGTAATTTAAACTGCATTTTAAATACTGGTTGGACCTTCCTGGTCCAGCACTCTTGGAACCTTGAACAAGGGAGTTTGTTGGACCAGGGGAAGTCAATTCCAGCCCCTCTGCTGATGGACTCTGGACTCTCCCAGAGTTCATCAGCAGACCTGGCCAGCTTCCCTTCCTGACCACAAGGCTCTGCTGCTGGCCCTGACTGCCAAGCTCCCTGCCCCCTGGTTGCCTTCCTGGCTCTGCTACCAGCCACAGCTGCCAGGCTCTTTGTTCCTGGGTTTCTGACCCAGCCACCAGTCCGGCTCCCTCCCCCAGGCTAGACTCCACTGCCAGCCCTAGTTGCTGGGCTCCCTGTCCCGGAACTGCTGGAGCTCTCTTGTCCAGGTGCTCTCTGGCCCAGCAATGTCTGTGGTCCTGCCAGATCACGGATGTTGCTGTACCAGAAAGTGCCATATAAGAGAGGTTCAACCTCTACTAAGATGTTTGTACGTCTCAAATTGCTTAATGCATTCCACTCTCGGATCTCCAGCATTAAAATGCACTGGAGGGGAAGTTGATCTGTATTGGCAAGACATCTTGTCATAGTTGTTCCTGTGCATAATTATTGCTGAAACTCTTACTGGGGAATCTAGTTTCTTAAAGAGACTTAACTACTGATCTCTCCATGTTTCTTAACTGCACACAAAATGCTGCTAAGAACCAGCAGCAAGAATGTAAATGACGGTTAACTGCAATCAGTTTGCCACGACTTGTCCCAGCTGTAATCA